TAATATCTCATGAAAGAGTATTTCTTTACAAGAATATATTGGTAAACGAACTGGAATCAAACACTTTTGTGCAAGATAACACTAGAGACCAAACAATAGGTCAAGATAGCCTAGATATAAAAGTTAGGAATCCCACACAGATAGAAAAAATATCTAGTAGTCAAGAAAGGATCGATGGCGAAGGAGAAAGAAGAGAAGAATATGTGATTAGATTCAAAGGAACACTAACTACATGGAGCAGCCTGATCCAGAAGTTTGCAGTGGTGGTGTTGTTTCCCTATCAAGAACATTCACATACAGTAAACTTACGGGAAGACACAAGAAGTACATACTTGTTGTAGCATCCCATGATGAACCAAGTTCATATAAGGAGGCTAGCAAAGACCTAAACTGGAAAGATGCAATAAAAAACGAACTCCAAGCTCTTGAAGAAAACAAGACCTAGAAAGTAGTTGAGTCATCAACAGAGAAGAAAGCAATCGGATGCAAATGGGTCTACAAGGTGAAATTCAAATCAGATGGGACCATTGAAAGGCACAAAGCTAGATTTGTTGCTAAGGGTTTCACCCAAAGAGAGGATCTAGACTATCACGAGACATTCTCATATGTGGCCAAAATCATTTCCATAAGAATATTGTTAGTTCTAGCTGCGATCAAATGATGGCATCTTCAACCGCTAGATGTCAACAATGTTTTCTTGCATAGAGACTTAAATGAAGAGGTATATATGGAACTTCCGTCTGAGTATCAAAAAGCGGAGAAAGGAAGGTATGTAGATTACTAAAAAGCTTGTATGGGATTGAAGCAAGCATCCAACCAATGTATGCTAAGTTTTCCGAGTTTATTATCCAACAAGGATTTAAGTAGTCCAAGCATATTACAATTTATTTGTGAGAACTAACGGTGAGAGTTTCACAGTTTTATTTTTTTATGTTGATGATAGTATTATAATAGGTAATGATAAAGGTGCAATCAAAGAATTAAAAATAGTACTAAATAACAAATTTTAAATTAAATATTTTAGAAATCTAAAATATTTAATTGAAACTGAAGTTGTTAGGTCAAAGGAAGGAGTTTAGATATGCCAGAAAAAATATGCCTTAAACTTTGAAAGATATGGGGGTTCTAGGAAGCAAAACCTCATCACTTCCTTTGGATCAAAATATCAAGCTTTCAAAGGACAAAGGAGGCCAATTCTAGATCCAATGATATACAAAAGGTTGATTGGAAGGTTGATGTACCTCACATTAACTAGGCCAGACTTAGCCTACTTTATCCAAGTCTTAAGCCAATTCATTGAGAATCAAAGAGATTGTCACTTGAAGGCTGCATCAAGACCTATTTTACTCAAATACATATGAATTAAAACTAAATACCGATACAAATAGTGATTGGGAGAGATACCCAGACACAAGATATTGTGTTCTATTGGGGAACTCACTGATATCCTATAAGTCCAAAAGAAAACAAACAATCTCTAGATCCTCAATGAATGCGGAATATAAAGTTATGGCCAGCGTATGCTGTGAATTAACTTGGATTAGACACCTACTTGATGATCTTAAGGTATCTAATTTAGAAGCAACAGACTTGTATTATGATAATAAAACAGTCATACATATAGTTGTCAATCCTGTGTTTCATGAGAGAACAAAACACATTGACATAGATTTTAAATTATTTAAAGACAAGGTGTAAGAAGGGAGCATAGTGACAAGGTATGCGAGCAGCAAGCAACAGGTATCAAACATCTTCATTAAACCTCTATCTAGCTGTCTTCTCAAAGAGCACATGATTAAGATGGAATCAGAAAACGTCTACTCTTCATCTTGAGGAGGGATATTATCGGGCCTGTGGGAAACAAGCCAAATGGCTTTCACCAGCTCATTTGGCCGGTTCGGATTAAGAGAGCCAAAAACGCATGTGAAATCGGGAAAGGATGAGTATTTAAACACGTCTCCTTCCCAAAGAAACCCTAACATGACTTTCCTCCGCAAACGCCACCTGAACCATCCAAAAGCTTCCATTTTTCTCTGTTTTCTTGTGTTTTCTTTTGATTGCTTGTAGGTTAGCAGGAGTTCTCTTTGTTTCAGTTGCTGCAGGAAGGATTTCTCATACTCCTCTCACTCTCACGACCTTCACCGTCGCCGCATGCAAATCTGGTAATCCTCTTCACTTTTGCTTATTATGTTTACACAAATCATTTGTTTTTTAGATAGATTAGTCGGTAAATCTCATTTTCTTTCATATTTTATTCTTTACTTTTTGTGATTGTATTTATTAGAAGATTTATTTTCTCAACAATTAGACAATAAGTAGTTTAAGGATCAAGGAGGGCATTATAATTCTTATCTCCGTGCTACATAAAAAGAGATTTTATAGAGATATTTACGCTACTCGGTCTTGGATATTATTGATTCAAAATAACACGACAATATCTTCTTATATTTGCAATCAGCTAGCTAGCCTTACCATGCATTACCACTATGAATTTAACTAGATTGGATGTGTGTATTTGTGTGTTTGAGTTTGAATATGTTGAAATTATGAATTTCAAGGGAAATGTTTCTAATGAGATTTCCATGTGATGATAAGATACTTACATTTCTCACATTTTTCATTTCTACATGGAAGAGCTCCACGCCTATAATCCAAGAAAAGAAAAATCAATTAGCACAAGATAGACACCATATAAGGAAAATTTATATGTATATTAGAGAAGCAACAATGATTGAGTTGATCAACCAGCTACAGTATACAACCACTATAAACAGAACATCTATACAAGATTTTTAAGTCCAAGCATTGCCTCCCATTAAAATGGCAATGCTTTAGCAAATCCAATTAGTGAAACAGGAAAGTAACAAAATGAATATTGTATAATTAGACATGTTAATGATGATCACTTGAATGGTAAGAAGGGAAGAAATATACAAGTTTCTTTCCATTGAAGAGCTTCTGAATAAGTTTGTGTTAGAGTTTCTGGTGAAATAGCAAAGCAGAAAAAATGATTAGCAATTATGATCAAAAGATTCTGTACATAGAGCAGCATACAGAAACAAATGTGTATATTTTCAATAAGAAATTAAAATATACTTACAATATTCGCTGACAAGCAGGTTTCTCACTGTCTTGCCACGTGAAATTATTATATGAAAGATCCCTGAAATAAGAATTGAAACAGGTGCATTTTCTGAATACTTGAGCGGATAAAAAAAATTCTAACCCACACCTCGAAGAAGTGTATATATATATATATATATTTTCTAAGCCATTAACATTATCCACTAGATTTCCACTTGATAATTTAATTATTTGATATTTAATATAAGCATGGATAATTATCAAAAATAAAATATAAGCATAAATTGAAATATTTCCTATATTGAGAGAGAGAGAGAGAGAAAGGAAATAATAGTCAAAATGAACATGTGAACTACACTTACAAACTAATGCCTCTCCTCAAGATTGCCTCAGTTATATCTCCACTAAGACTGTTGTTACTTAGAAAGCTGATCAACATTAGAACAAGATGTCAATATGATTTATGTATTGTGATTACATACCAATTCTCTGGAACTAGTTCATTTAAAGAAAAATAACCTTACATGATTTTGAAACTTTGAGATATAGTGGTAACGGGAAGTTGTCCACGCAATTTATTAAAAGTTAGATCCCTGTCCAAAAACAGAACGCAATGCACTCTTCACTCCTTACCGGATCAATTGAGCCTTCCCGTGATAAATAAACTAATATCTAACTTAAGGAATACATGATCAGATCATAAAGAAGGGTGATAATGTGGATAGCTCATTCTTGTAAGATATTTCAAGAAAATAGTAGAGTAGAAGTAAAATTAAGCAAGGACAATTTATTGTTGTAATATATTGCAAGCAAGTATTCAATAAGTAAAATAAAGAAAGCAGATTATACATATGAACAAGATTAGAAAAGGAAA